TGAATTGGGAAAGAACAAAGAGAGGGCGCACAGGCCTAGTGCATTACCATTAAAAATGTTTAATAAAAAATAAAGTAGGTGTTGTCCGCAATAGGGAGTTTAGACATCCAAAAGGCTGTCTGAGGAAGAGGTAAGTCCTCGAAACGCGTCAGCCTTTTGGATGTCTAAACTCCCTATTGCGGACTGTTACTCAGCGCGGTGTTGACCCAGCTGTTCTTTTATGATGTGCCTTGACTATATTGTCGTTTGTGAGTACAACACCTACTTTATTTTTTATTAAACATTTTTTATGGTAATGCACTAGGCCTGTGTGCCCTCTCTTTGTTCTTTCCCCATTCAGTATATTTGGATTCCCCCGGTCCATTTGAGGGCAGCAAGGTGTGCATGTTCCAGGACATTCTTAATGTGGTTGTAGCCTGCATCGAGTCCATCCCCAAGCGCAGGAGCATTTGTGTTTGCTGGTTCTTCATTCAAATTATTGGGCTGTCGTCCTTGTGCAAATGCAGGCCGCAAAGCCACAACAGTGTGAACCTAGCCTTACTATAGGAACTATAAGCAAAGCTGATATGCACTCCACTAATTTCATAAGTATTTTTTTGGGGTAGACAATGGTAATTGCCAAAGCAATCTAAATAGTTCCATATTTATCAAGTATTATCTGTTTTGATTTATTACTGTATTACTCTGAAAATGATTTGTGACATCCAAAATGCTGCAGGAACCTTTCTCCTGTGTGAAACGCAGACACAGCAGCCCATTCATATGAATGGGCTGCTGTGCCTGCGTTTCATGCAGGAAAAAGGTTCCTGCAGCATTTTGAATGTAGAAAATCATTTTCAGAGTAATAGAGTAATAAATCAAAACAGATGCAAATGCAGGCCACACACCTGCAACAGTGTGAACATGGCTTTAATCTGCTTACCTGGGCTCAAAAATAAATGATTATGTTGATAAATTGTATTTCATACATACATATTAAGGAATCTAGGGGTCCCAATAAGAGTCTAAAGAAAAGGATTATCTCTATGGCCTCTATGGATGAGTATTTCAATGGTTAAGCTCTCCTTTTGGTATTTACCAGTCAGGAGCAGTGCGGAGGAAGGAGCAGCGGTCTATGCTCTGTGCTCTCGGAGAGCAATCCACAATGGTCACAAAACACTTATTTTTGATTCGGTTCAAAGATCACTAACAGTAAACAGCACTGAGGTGTTACATGAAGTCTTATCACACAAATAGAAGCCAAGCAGCCAATACCTCCCCAAACTGCATCTTCTGAGTATAAAGACCTGCAGCTCTGACTGTATAATGGAAATATTGAATCATTTGATGGGTCAGACAACGTAGGGGAATAGGGGAAATGTGTTCCATTATATCAGACCTCCTTAACCTGTTCATGGCGAGGACTCAGCTGTTACCTGTAAATTAGCTATGTGATCTATGTCTTAGAAATTAAAGCTAAACTCCAAGCAGATATCAATATCTACCAATTAATGAAGTTATGTACCGGTATTTGGAAATACAGCTAGCATAATTACCTGAATTTGTTTTCATATTAGTCTCTTGAAAGCCCCGGTACAGCAGGATGCAGTCGAGAAGAAGGAGCTATAGCACTTGTGGCCAATCAGGCATGCTGCTTGGGCTGATTAATCAAGTTTATTTGAGTTTAACCCATTCACAGGCTGGGGGCAAGGGGAAGACCAAGTTGTATTGCTTAAATGCAGTAAAGCAAAATAGGTCACCAACCTGGCTTCGCTGTATGACATGACTGTGTAAATCTCCAGACTAGCTGGACAAATATCCATCTTTTAGCAAGTCATATTGCTTGCATATACGTGCGTGTTGCAATTGTGCTATTTTCTAGAGTTCTACATTGACATAAACTTGTATTAAATTTCAAAAATTTAACACGAAGAAATAAAGGTTTCTCAAATAAGTATACCTGCAAAATAAGAGAGGAAATACTTACCTTTCTGCTGTAAAAACCTCACTCCCTTTAACCACTAGAATTTGAAAGGTATTACCCCTTTCATAGCCAGACCATTCTTTGCTGTTTGGCACTGCGCTAGTTTAATTGGCAATTGCTCTGTCATGCAACACTGTACCCAAATAAAAGTTTTAGCATGCAAATAGAGCTTACTTTTGGTGGTATTTGATCATCACTAGGATAGAGCTTACTTTTGGTGGTATTTTATCACCACTGGGTTTTTCTATTTCTTATTATTTAAATGAAAAAAGACCACAAATTTTGAAACCCAAAATGTTCTACTTTCTGTTATACAAAATATCCAATAAAATCAAATTTGTTCATAAATTTAGGCCAAAATGTATTTTGCTACATGTCTTTAATAAAAAGAATCCCATTAAGTATATATTAATTGGGTTTTATGAAAAGTATAGCGTCTACAAACTATGGTATTTATATTTGTAAATTGATCAGCCCTGATGTACTGCTGTCCTATCTAACTGTGGCAGGGTGGCAAGTGGTTAATAGAAATAAGAAATATTCCGCTGAAGTCCACAGGGAAACAGACACCTCTGGGAGTGTTGATCCACTAGGTCCTCTACAGTTCTCACTGGTTCCTTCTGCTGACTTTTATGTCACTAAAGGATAGAGTACCTCAGCTAGAGGTGAGAGATCAACTGAGGTCTGACAGAGGCTGGACTGTAAGGTACTTTGTCTCATGCTGATAGCACACACTGTCTGCTAGTCTCTGAGTATGCATTCCCATTTGGGCTAATGCAACAATTGGAATATTTAGTCTTGAAATATTAATGTAGCACTACCCTGGAAGGAGCCGCTGAATTGTTTAGATCCTCCTGTTCCACTCCAGTGATGACCTGCTCTATAACTGAACCCAAGTGTCCTGCTGCAGCTATGAGCAGGGGCAGACTGACCATTTGGAAACTCGGGCACTGCCCGAGGGCCCGGGGTAAGTAGGGGGCCCCATGAGATGCCCCTGGTACATTTTTCATAGGCTTTTTTGAGTTTGGGCAAGGACACAGGGGCCCCATGATCCCCTATTGCCCGGGGGCTCCAGGAGTTGTCAGTCCACCCCTGGCTATGAGGCTTATGCTAGTATTGTTATCTGCTCCTCCTTTCGCCTTGTCCATTTACAGAACACCTTGTATTATATGGATGGTTTACAGAATAGATGTGGTTCCTTAAGCTATATATCTTAATGCAAACATTCCAATTATCCTGAAAGCAGTGAAAGATGCGAAGTTTTATATAAAGAACGCCTCTACCAAGAGGGCTACCTACATACAGAGACAGAAAGCAAGAAAAGGCACAAAAGTCAGTCAATGAGAAAGATCAGCTGCAGAGATACCACAGGCAATACCAGTGATTAATAGTTCAGGTCCTCTTTAAGGATATTAAAGTGATATTAAAAGCTGGCTTAAAAAAACAAACAAACATGTTATACTTACCTGCTCTGTGCAATGGTTTTGCACAGAGCAGCCCCGATCCTCTTCTTCTTGAGTCCCCCACCAGTGCTTCTCGCTCCAACCCTTTGACCAGTGCCCCCAATAGCAGGCTGTTTGCTATGGGGGCACTGGCGTGTGCTCGCTCTCGAACCCTGCTCTATGCAACCGTAAGTGTCCCTGTTCTCTTCTCATTAGCTAACTGGCTGTGATTGACAGCAGTGGGAGCTGCTGCTAGACCAGAATGCTAACCATTATGCTGCCTACACCGTACATGGGAAAGGAATCTCCGCACTCCACTCACAAGCTGAGGAGGAATGGCCACATTTATAACCAATGTTCTCAACTATATAACATTTCAAACTTACATTTGTGAAACTTTGTGCTTTATTTCCAATGACAAACTAGCAGCAGTAAATAGTCCAATCCCTTTCTAATTTAATCAGGAGAATAAATATTATTACAATACAATACTCTTGTATTCAAATTTTGACTGCTAGCTAGTTTTCATTGCTTGTGTCATTTTTGATCTTTTGATTGCTGTATTTCCTATGGTTAACATTTCCTCCAAGTATATGTTCTACATTTCAGCTGTGATTAAGACATTGACTTTATTACAGCCAAGGCCAATGGATTTTTATAATATATGATGATAAACCTCATGAATTTATAAAGCAATTCCATTAGCTCTATAAACTGGACAATACCTCTGATATACTAGATATATAAGAATGTTAACCTGTCTATAGTATCTATCTATCTATCTATCTATCTATCTATCTATCGTCATCATCACCATCACCATCTATAAGGCATGTGTATGGTGTCTTAGTTCCCAGAAGGGCACTTGCTCATGAGACATTCTAATCTCTGTTGATGCCTCATAGGAAAAAGATAATTCTAAAACCCTCATGGGATAGTACAAGGTCCCAAGAAGTATAGCTCACCATTATGCATCAGAAGCAGGGATAAGCTGCCAGTTCAGACTGGATTTTGCTTGTCTGGAGGTTTGGCAAATGTTCCAACTAAATTGGTGTTAAATTCGGAAATTAAAGCAGTATTAAACCCAAAAGCAAACATTTACTATATTGTAGCTTACCCATTCATAGATGTGATTGCTGTATTAGTTTGATTTTTTAGGCTTTCTTTCCTCTATTTTCACCTCTCATTTTCAACCTCTACTTTCTATTGGTGATCCTGTCAGTAAGTCTGTTGTTTTTCAAAACAACAAGCTCTCTTGCAGATGTGTCAGTTACAGCAATGAGACAAACCATTTAACACTGGTAGTTGACGTTGATATGGTATACACCATCATTTTAACTGCTTTCCTGCTGCAGGGTGGCAAGGGTGTGCAAAATCACGTGTATATATATATATATATATATATATATATATATATGTGATTTTGCATTGGCGGCCTCACCTGTCGGTCATGTGTCCCGGCCAGTGATTCCCCACCGGCACCCAGAGATCACTGTGTATCACGGACAGGGGAGAGACCTGTATGTAAACAATACAGATCTCTCCCCTGTCAGCTCCTTCACACTGCTTTGTATGGCTCTGCAGTGTGCTTACAGTGTAAAGCACACACAGCACACAGTTAACCATTTGATCACCCCAAATGTTAACCCCTTCCTGCCCAGTGTCATTAGTACAGTGTCAGTGCTTTTTATTAGCACTGATCACTTTATTGGTGTCACTGGGGATGTCAGTGACAGTTAATCATTTCCCCACCCCAGTGTCAGAATGTGCGCCGCAGTCCTGCAGTCCAGCAGCCCGCTATAAGTCGCTGATCGCCACCATTACTAGTATAAAAAAAATTAATAAAATTCCAGTATATATACCGCCATTTGTAGACACTATAACTTTCACGTAAACCAATTAGTTTACACGTATTGGGGTTTTTTTTTAGCAAAGACATGTAGCAGAATACATTTTGGCCTAGATTTATGACGAAATTTGATTTTTTTTATTTTTTTTTACTTGACATGTTTAATAGCAAAAAACTCAAAAATATTGTTTTTTTCTCAAAATTATCGGTCACAAAACATATAAAATGCAGAGGCACTCAAATTCAACCAAAAGAAAGCTCTAATTGTGGGAAAAAAGGATATACATTTAATTTGGGTGTAGAGTTGCATGACTGTGCAATTGTCAGTTAAAGTAAGGCAGCACCATATCGCAAAAAAATGGCCTGGTCAGGAATGGGGGTAAATCCCCTGGAGGGCAAGTGGTCAAAAAAAGGTGGCTTGACCACCAAAATTACAGGTCTTTCTGCTTGGGTAATGGGTAGCCAATAGCTGACATGGGAATGCATAAGTATATTGCTAAAGAGAAGCTTATACCAGCACTGACAGATGTGGATCCACTGCTGTGTAAACAAAACTGATTCAAAAGCTTTATGTGCTTTACTTGATGCTATAAGGTTTCTTCATCTATGTAGAAATGTATAATTGGCTAATTCAAATTAAAAAGGAATTACCTTAAAGTGTCAATAAAAATACGCTTGTGGTGATTTTCAAAACTGCAATTTTTTTTTTTTTTTTTTAATATTGGCTACTGGCCAGGATGAGTGGTGAAATTCAGCAAAACCTGACTTTGGCATAATCTGTTTGCAATTTCCTCCAAAGCAAACAATTCCCAATATTCCATTGATGATCAATTCAGTTTTGCTAAGAGTGTGTTTTTATCCTTTGTGTATTTGGGATCAATTTAGTGCAAATTTCACAACAAATTTCAAAGTTACCATAAAAGTCTATCTAAAAGTAATTTCAAAAAGTTTTATCACATGGACTGTTACTTTAAAATACCACTAGCTTTAATCAAGATTGAGATAATATACCAACTAATGAGATAAAAAAACAAAATGATAGATAAATAGATAGCTAGACAGACAGACAGACAGACAGACAGACAGACAGACAGGCAGACAGATAGATAGATTATGTTCCCAGAAATGGGTAGGAATGGACAGGACAGAATGATGTCAGGTATAGTGGATCAACAGGTTGTTATCCACGGAGGTTGAATAGAGGCTAATCTTTTTTTTATGTGAAGTAAGTTTTTGATGTTTTATTTTTTTACAAATTCCATGGATGTGAAGTATCCTTAAAATGTACTGATAAGTAGCGATCATGTAATGAAATGCGTATTAGGCCCCTTCCATACGGGATGGACTCTGCCAGGAGTCCAATCTGCTGATTTGCTTATTTAGATTGGACACAGACATACTTTCCTCTAAGCACGGTAAACAGACTGCCTGTCCATTTACTCCCGACTGCCATCTGATCTGATATGCTAGACAGATGGGGAACGGATCCCTGTCCATCTGTTTTTATCAGATCGGATTGGATGTCGGCGGGTGTAAATGGACACATGGCTGTTTACACCTGCCGTTCCATAGAGGACAATGGACAGTCCGATTGGGTCCACCTGAAAAACTGACAGGCGAACCCAGTCAGTCCGCTTGAGTGAAAGGGGCCTTACACTGGAATGGATCATATGAGTTACTATGGATTGGGAATTGTTGCAGTTTCTTCTTGAGTGATTGTTTAGGTGAGATGGCTACATTGGAATTCATTTTCCAAAGGCAAATAGACTGAGGTGAAGCTCTGCTGACTTACATTATCCAATTATGTGCAAGCAAAAGTACTTTTTTTTTTTTTCTTGCACCTGATTGGTTATTTTTTGCAAAGATAATTTTTACCACTATTACTAAGTCAAGTGAAAATTCCCTTGCAGAGTAAACAGCATAATTGCCTTTAGTAAATCAACCCCAAAGTATCAATAGGTCATCCATGATTCCTATTGATTGGTGATCAGTTTACCAATGAACATGAATAAGGGCAGGGACATCTGAAACTGTATTTTGAATGTTCCTATGCATGGCTGATTGGAATAAAGGATTATTGATTATTTACATTACTTTGCAACTAAGTGCAGCTCTTTAGTTCTTATACTATAGGCGGAGTAAAATCTGCACTCATTCAATAGGTGCATCAAGTATGCCATATAGCTCATTCCTACTGGTATATATATATATATGCTTTCTATGTATTTAGATTATGAAAATAAAACAGGGTGGTTTTTAAAAACGTTCACTCCTCTAGTATGTTCCCGAACACCCATCTACACCCACCCATCATTGCATGACTTCATGGTGATTGGGATAAGGTGACTGCATTGCTTATGTCACTATGAAAACTATAAATGCTGGAGTATGTTCCTAACACTCAATAGAACTAGGGTTTTACCCAAACCCAGTATGTTTGCAGTTCAGTGAACCACCAAACTAACTAGCCATATTTGTCCAGCTCCCTTATGCAAATCCCAGGCTATTTAGAAACAAAATGGCCAGGATCTACATTGCTAATTGACGTGATTAACAATGGATTGATGAGGTGGTTGATAATGGGTTTATCCTTCTTTTTTTTATTAATATTTCTAAAAAGGCAGCCCCATCTTCCTTTGCCATACCATGCCACATACCTTTCAACATTGGGAGGATACCTTGCAAGGAGAGGCAGTAACCCACTCAAACAAGGAGACAAGGTTGTCTTCCTCACATCTGGTCCCCATGACGTTGTAGGGATTTATGGAGAGAACTGGAATGAACCTGGAAGAATACAGGGGCCCCCAGATATCTAACACCCCCCAAGGAGGATAAGTGCCCCTGTAGGTACCCCCAACAAACCTCCACATACTCTTGAGATTCGGATATGATGAAAAGGCCCTTGTCCCCCAATATTGCTTGGTACTCCCCCCTAGTATTTAAAGGCATGTGACTTGGTATGGTTCTGAAGGAGTGGGGCTTATGATTGCTTCCCTCCCTTTTCTAGCAACCCAGCCTGCATTGCTGGATAAAGATCTGGTTTTAATTTTAAGGGGAACTTAAAATTAAGGACTTAAGGACACTTTTAAGGACAACAATGCAGTGTTCCATATCTTCATGTGCAGCTTTAAGGCATTTCAAGCATGTTTTTTTAAAGGATGCATTTTCAGTATTAGTCTGTAAAGCGGAGTTCCACCCAAAAAGTGGAAGCTCCGCTTTTCTGCCTCCTCCCCCCCTGCTGCCATATTTGGCACCCCCCCCCCCCCCTGCAGCCCGGTCACAAACCATAGTGCGCTTCCCTCATGGGCAGTAACAACCTAGCACTGGAGTATCAAGGCTGCACTGACGGTTGCCCTTAGTTAATACAGCACCTGACAGCAAATTGAAGACTTAGCTAGAGATGAGGACACCGCTGGATCCCTGGACAGGTAAGTGCCCTAATAATAAAAGTTAGCAACTATAGTATTTGTAGCTGCTGACTTAATTTATGTTTGGGGGTGGCGGGGGCCGGAACTCCACTTTAAGTCACATGAAAAGATCCTCTCCCCATGTACCATATGGCAGAGCCATGGGCTTTTTTAACAATAGCTTGCAAATTAGCACCTGAAAAAAGGTGAGAAAAAAAATCAAGATTCTACTTCAGCAGGCTTTAAAGGTGCTTGGCACTATGTGTAGAGTTCCCTGACTCCCTGCTAGATTCACCGAACCTCCTACAAAGTGAAGATTGCTCAGTTTGTTCATCCCTGAATTATAGAATCTACTTGGATGAGTGGGGAAGTCCAGGTGCATGTGACTAACTACTGCACACTATGCATTTCATATGAATATGCATCAACTCAACAGGTATGCAATATTTAGGGCTTTATATCTTAACAAGGTAAAATAATTATTGCATTTAAATACCTTGTTCATGTTAGTGAATTGATCCTATAGTTTGTCTTTTATGAGACCTTGTGTAGATATAACCTTACATGTAATGTAAAGGATAAAATAAGAAGCTTAGCATTTTTTTTTCCATGTATATATACACACGTGTAAACCTTTTTATGTGCCTATGTCTGCGGTTCTTCTTCAAATAACATTTTACAAAATTGAAAAGAAAAAATAGGTAGATTACACATTTGTTGTGCCTTAAAAACAGCTTTAACAAAACATTTTATTTTGCTAAAATAAATGATTTAGTCACATAGATTGATGGAGCCTAATACAAAGAGTTCACGACAAATCATTTTTGCATAATGCTTTGCTCAAAGGACATCTTAGCCATCATTATAAAATGAATACTTAGCACTGACAGATTAATGACCAGGCCCAGAATAAATTGTTCAACCTCCTTGTTGCATTTGCACTGAAGCCAAAATACATATTCTAAATTAACTGTCCTGGTACTGTGCAGGAGAGGTTTTTTTCTATTATTTTTTATTGCATTTCTTTAAATGGTTAATTCATTATCTTTTATAGAGCGTTGTCTTGGTATAATTCACTCTTTTAAGAAAGCCACCAAAATGAATCACAGTTCAGCTACAGTCTTCTATCAGATGTGTGCAACATACCATATTTAGTTTAGACCATACCCTTTAGGCCATATAGCTCCTTCCCTCTACATCCCTAAGCTTACACCATTCAAAATGGTAGACTATAAAGGACTGTAAAGAAATCTGCTTTGATATTGGTCAGATAGTGTTTTCCCTGAGACCCTATTCAAAACACATTTCTTTCCCCCCTTCCCAAAATGCAATAAACTGCAGCTTACCAGTTTGTAGATGTTATGGCTGGATAAATTTATTTTCCTTTTCATCCATTTTTACCTTTTTATTCAACCTGTTGATCCATTTTAGTGACACCCTTTGTGTCTTAGGGTGACAACAATCATTTACTGTACTGTATTTATGAAGCAGCAGTGTTCGTTGTCCTAAGCCGTTCTCCTGATTTAG